AAACGAGTCTGCTTGTTTCTGTTCTGTAATATATTTTGTGCACATTTGAAAGTTATGTTACTATCAAGCAGAAAGGGAAGTGCGTTCAATGTATTCAAACAAATACTACTGGCGTCCCATATTTCTTTACGATCAAACAGTGATAACGGCGTGCTGTAACAAACGCACTTATGCAGTGATGCATAGATACTGCTTGGGTGCATGGAACAGTCGGCGATGAAATATGACTTCGCATTTGCCCTCGGAAAATTTTACAACTCATTTCTTTAGCTCTATTTCCGAATTTGCAATCATTATGTAATAAAATTAGGAGTTCTATTTGGTTCCCCGGTGTTGATACTACAAGTAAGATGATGAATACGCGTATCAAAGAGAAATTACCGGTTTGTTGTACAAACCTCTTATTTCATTAGGTGTCTGTAGTCAGCAATCTTTGATGTACATATATATATATATATATGTATATTAGCAAGTGTTTCTCATTGGATTCCGGAATACTAGTTGGTGCTGCATGCCAAAAATTGTGAAAAAAAGAATATTTTGCATATCCCAATGACTCAGTCACTCACCATTAGCATGGCATGAATTAAACATATGGAATTTGACTGTGTACTAAAGGGATTTATAACACCATGCGATATCGATAGTCTAGCATTTTTTTGCGGGAATTTTCTCGTATCGACCCAGAGAAATTTGAAACACTGAGAATTAAGTGTCTGACTCCATTTTAGCCGTATATGTCAATATATTTGAAGCCCAAGTTACGTACGAAGAACATAAAACCGCCCGTCAGTCATAATATGACAGTATGTTCTCACAAACCTTCTTTCCTTTCGTGGAAAAATGTATCAACACGTGCAATTTTTCGGCCTTTTGTCGACGCAAGCTACAAAAGCTACACTACACAGATACTTATGACTATTGCAAGGCCTTCTGGATAATGAATTTCCAATATAAATTCTGCCTACATATTTGCTCGTTATAAAATGAAATTTCAGTAATTGAGGGTAACTTCTGAAGTGTTATTTCTGTGAAAATGGCTGGTCAATTATAAGCAAAATAAGAACTGGTTTTTCAAAAAATTACAAACGTAAACGATTCACAAACTGTGTTGTTAACCATACCTGATCGCCTTCATCCTATTTTGGGATAACTACACAATAGTCACTGTCGTGTACGTGAACCAAGGTACCCATATAACAATCACATTTCGCTAATTACTTAAATGTATCAACATCACAGGGGATTCGATAGTTTCCGAGCTCATTTTCTGTAAACGTTTACAGCACTGACAAGTTGGAAGGTGGCTTTCTCATATGCGTTTGATTTGTAGTTAAGCCATGGATCTACTCGTTAGTGTATTGCGAGAAACTGTTTCTCTCAATCTGCCATTCGAAGAAACTCCAGAGGGCAACCGTCATTTTCCAATATAATATTTAATCTTATTTGGTAACCATAGCGTTTCTATACATATGCCATCTTTTTCATGGGCTTTTTTGATACTTTATCGCATAATTCATAGTTTAAACGTTGTGTAACAACCTTTTCTCGCCTCTTCAACTTGACAGCAACCTTTTTCTCTACGGTTATGTTGTACATATATACTCTTAAGACTCAAGTGACCGTCCCCCTTTTCCTTTTGTGGTACACTAACAGTCTTTGAAATGCTTCCCACGACAACCATCTGCACTACTCTGTCCCCCTCCAACTTGTCTCTAATATTTATACACCACGTTTAATTAATCACATTGGTAGAATTTGTTTATGAAGTGATGAAATCCCTCTTGCTCCTGTAATGCAACTATAAAAGATGTTTACTTCTTTAAAGCAGTGAAAAAATGGACCTGTTTGCAAAGAAATCTTTTTGAATTGCCTTTCGCACGATTTTCAAATAGATTATGTTTTTGATTCAGGATTACTGATTCTATAGTGAAGAATCACGAGCCAAACCCTAAGGGTCGCAAATCACGTTCAAATATCCATGCATTGCGTCGTTTTATGATAAAAAAACATGCTAGGCCATTTGGATTTGTGGTCCGGAGGACTTAAAGCAATAATAACAACAGGTTTTACCACTGGATGTACTCTTAGAAGTTGATTGCATCTTCAAAAAACAACATAATGATATAGAACACTGGGTGACATTATACATTGTTTGATAAAATAAATATATTCAATTGACTTCTAGACAAAATTATGGATGGTACCTTCAGTCGTGAAATATTCCCATTGATGCATAAGAACACAGTCAAAACACAAAGAAATTTCTTTTCAATTTATCGCTTAGGACATTTACATATACAGTTTGATCAGTCAGTAGAATAATACCAGGCCTAGGTGGATGTTCAATGAATGTCTATGTGCGCAAAATATTTGGTTGATAATAAGCTGTGGGGTCACGATAATTGGATAAGGGAAAACCGGATAAGAAATTGTGTGAATTGGACACGATATGAAAGGTGTTAGTCACAAATGAATAAAACAGGTGTGAAAGTGTGCAAAACACAAAGTAAACGCGAAATGGAGGAGGGAGATAACAAAAATGCTCATATAGAGGGTATTCGGCTTTCCACCATCCAATTATCGTAAGCCCACAGCTTGTTGTCAATCAAACATTTTGCGCACATACATTCATTCAACATCCGCCTAGGCATTGTACTATTCTACTGACTAATCGAACTGTATATGTAGATGCCTGAAGCGATATATCGAAAAGAAATTTCTTCGCGTTTCGACTTATTTTTAAGTTTGAAAAGCAACAGAGGGCGATGTTGAATGACATTTCATTGCCCTATTACCATTGCGAGATTTTCTTATTATTGCAGAATTCTTTGATTCAACTTTATATAATTGCCATATATTCTCTTGGTTTCAATTCTCTCGGATGTCATGCAAACCAAATCCTGTTTTAGGTCCTTTTAGAGAAAATTAATCAAAGCAGCAGGCTGTTATGTGTGAGCATCGAAGACGCACTGTTGTCGAGGTGAGTCTACACCACGTTCTAAGGTGCGAATCCCAGAGGTTTGCCATTCTCATCGGATATTTGCGCAAATTTGTATACCTTGAGCAATGACGGTTAAATTTCTTTCAATTTTTTTAAAATTTGTCTTTTTAGTTTATTCTAGAACAGATGCTTGCCAGGTAACATCGCGCTGCGGGAAGTTGTATGCTAGAAACATTCTATGTGGCCACAGAATTAGAAAATAATAATATTGTACCAACTAAATTGACCAACGGATAATGTAATTCAACAGTATTACAGGTGGAAATTGTGATAAGTTCGGTGCTTCAGTGGGATTCGTACCCACGCATGGACGCCGCCTACGCCTTTGTACAGCGCGTGCTCTACCAGCTGAGCTACCAAGACACATCGATAGCACTGATCTTTTAAATTCTAATCAATCATCTAAATTGTAGAAGCACATTGTGTCTACCTGATAGCCACATGTTTTCCTTAGGAGACACAGGGGTCAACCAAATGCACTCCCCAGGCAAAGATAATTGTTCAAATTTTTGGTTGGAAGGTTGAAGCATATTTGTTTCTCGGGTGGGATTTTCCGTCACGTGCAAAAGGATGATTGTGAACGTACTATAATATAATGGTGCAATCGCAAACAAAATTACTGGCTTGAACTGCAGTCGAGTTTAGCTCCACTTCAAGTGGCTCATTTAACAAAGGAAAGTGCTGGACTAAGTGGACCATTAAATGACAACACAACATAAGTAGAAAACGGCTAACTAAGCTAGATAACGCTTCAGAGATGTTGCATCGTGTACACGTAAGAAAAAAACAAACATTTTACATCAACCACATATTGATGTGCAATACTACCGCAATTGAAACCGAATAATTACGGTTTGATAATTCTTTTTTCAGACTCTTCGGTAGTAAAAAGCAACCAATAGTCTAGTCCTCATTAGCAGGATGTATTTGCAATCGCTCTACTCAGTATTTTGCAACTTATGTAAAATTAGGCTGAAAACAGCATTACTATTTACACGGTTCTTGATTTTTATTGGTTAATAAGGTGCTGGGGATGTCTTTTATGTAAAGACTTGTCGGAAATACAGCACTCTTGCTTTCATTTTTATTTGAGTACGAGACACAAGAGGGTTAACTTAACTTGGAGAAGCTTGTCAAGGGCTCATTCAATGGCATTCGTTGCAAATATATCCCACGGTTGGTTATTTAGTACTACCATGCATGTGGTCCCTCGTAAGACATCAAGTATCCCAAACTCCTACATTATTGCATACAGTAATCATCGAATTTGTTGAACACACATCATCAACTAAAAGGAACCATTATTTGATCCATGTAGCTTTTTACTGACAGGTGCTTTCATTCAAATATCTTAAGACCAATTTGAGGCGTGTTATCGAGATAATAGCTGATACCATCTATCCGGTTACCTGCTCTGATTATCTGCAATACCCGATTATCCTGTAGGATACTATGCAGACTAAAAAGCACGGTATGTACAATCCATTCACACAGAAAAATGTGGTTTATGTCAGTTTGTGCAGCAATCAAACTTTTTCAGAAGCGTGTAATCACCACCCTCCTTATTTATACTCTATCTTTACGGGCACTAACTGTTTTCTGATTTCATAGTATGACGTGCATTGGTATGTAGTCATCTTTCTCATATCCATTATTTTCATTCTGCTTAGGTCGAGATAATTAAACCGAACGTATTTGATTTCGTGCAGAACACACATCCATAATACTCCCATCTCGCCAATGGACGGGTAGGCTTGCACAATCCGATTTGCTGATGCCGACCAATGAGGATAAATGTACCAAACTATCGACCACTAGCGATTACGTGCTTGGTGTACCTGTGTGCATGTCTATTGCACAGGGTTTAAACCATTCACCCGTGATCGAACCAACCAGTATAAGCACGCAAGGTCGGTTGTGAACGGCGCTCTATCCACTTCAGTTTGTTTCATTTGCGACGTTGCCCATTAGTCGACGGTGTCCGACTTTCGGCAAAATGATGCAAGAAGAAGAAAAACGGCTACTGGAAAAGTTCAAGCAGATGGACAAGGATGGAAGCGGATCGCTTAGTCGTAAAGAAGTGAAACGGTGCATGAGAGCATGTGGGTTTGACGATTGCTTCATTAACGTGAGTAGAATGTTCGTATTGTCCTTTTTTCATTCCGTCAGTTGGTCGTGTATTGTACTTTTCCTTCAGTTGGAAACACAGAGTGAACTATATGGTATTTTTTTTACTGAGTTTCAAGCTCAAAACGAATCAACTTGGCATAAAAAGTATCATTGTTTTAGCGAATAGTGAGAAGTCTAGTATATACTACATTGCGGTAATACAAACGGTCGGTATGTGTACTTTTTATACTGCAAAATATGAATTAAGAGTTGAACATTTAACTTGATGGTTGGTGAGGCCAACTTCGAGCTCACTGATTTTAGTGATTATCCAGAGACAGCTCTGAGTACTGGGACTTTTAATATTTTTCCCCGAATAACGCATACATTATCTCAAATTTCATTCCCTAATTTACTGTCAACAGTAGCTGCATATAATTCTGCTTGAGCAGAATTTACCGATTTGTACGTTTTAGTCCTCAATTGATAATGCAATACCCTTTAAAGTTTTGGTTCCCTTACAATACTGCATTGGTTCATGAGACTGTAAAAAACTGTCCTTATGGTTCAGTGTGAATGAAACAGAAGATAATTTGCTGTTAAGATTTGATAAATATTTCAAACAATGAGTCATTGCTTTGGTATTCAGATTTGTAGAAATTCGATTCACAAATTTTTCAACCAGAAAAAGAGAGTTCTTGCATCGGGATTACATCTCTTTGGTTTGAGATCCTAGCCTCACGTTTGACAAAATCTGAGTAACTGAATGCGATGTAACTTATTCATATGAAACGCGATTCCTGAACCTCATTTCAAATTCTAATATTGCTACATTGTATTAAATTGGGTAGGTAGTCCGTTCCCCAGTGAGTCTCTGTGGGTTATGCCGTGACAACCGTAGCGATCGTTTTGCGTCTTCACTTCCCTGGTGAGGTCACGAGAGGGTATTGATTGTTCGATAATCTTTCGGGTCTGTCAGAAATTCAATTTGTTGAATTCAATTTTGGTTGACATTTGTCAAAATGCGAGTTACTGTTTTGGTGGACTGCACGAAAGTACAAAATGCGTTTTACCCGGTACTTAAAAATTGACCATCGCCATAATGTATTTGGGGATATTCAGTGAACGTGATCAATTATATGATGGCATCACACTGATTGAGATCAAACTAAAACAACATTAGTGAGCATAAAAGGATTCATCCTGTAACCTATAGCGTGGAGTGTAAACCCAAACAAAATATGATTCCGGTTTACAAATTACGCATAGGTTTCTCCGCGAAGGTGACCATTCATGCAGACATCAACATTCATGAGAAGTCGAATAAGTTACTGTGATGTCGTCGTGTAATCAGCATGTTGCTGTCGTTAACAGTGAGACCAAAGAAATTTGGAGATGCGGGAAATGTCTTGATATAGTTTAGGAGAGATCTTATTGAGCAAATCCTTATAAGAATTCCGTGATACCATAAAGTGATTGGAACACTCAATCTCTAAGACCGTCGCCAATACAAAAGAGATCTTTAGGAATTTTGGGGCTTGTAAAAGAGGGCAAACAGTTGTTCAAGTACGTTCTCACGTTCTCAACGTGAAAAATAACAAAAATTGTTGAAAACTCTGGAGTTTTAAGTCAAATACATCGGCATCGGAATGGTAATTTGATAGCATTTTCGCTCCATGATGTTTTGCTGCATATCATCTACGAGTAAACCTGGAAATCGTGTGTGAAAATATGTTACCATTGGCCTGGTATCAGGCAGCAAGTATAAAGCTAAAACTATACGCAGAATTCGGCGAATGATCCTCGTACAGGATATCTCCTATCATCTCCTGCAAATCTGTGAAGAAGTAAGTCAAAGGAACAGTGGTCAGTACACTTGAATCTGAGTGTATGGCAACTCGTTCAATCTCTGTCAAACAAGTAATTCAGGGGGATGAAATTAATGCCCTAGACAACATCTCATCGTATTGATATTCTAGTGAGTTAGACGTCACACCAAAACGGGAAGATCTGATAACTGTAACAGACTAAAATTCAATTTGGACGACTGCGAAGTGTCTGTGCTGTTTGAATGATCTGCACATGGTATCCTTCATTTTTGGAGTCTTTGGCAGAAGCTGTATCGTAATCTGTGATGTAATTATACCGATGGAAGATCTCGGTCTGGCAGTAAATTAGATAGCTGACAATTGTCATGATTAACGAGTTTATCTTAATAGTGGCTAAAGCTGGGAATCATGACTGTCCAACAAGATTACGCATCTTTGCATTCAGTCTGCATCAAGGCACAAAACAATTCATAAAATGTTCCCGGTAGACCAGAGCTGGGAATTAAAGTTAAGCTGAAAATGTCCGGTTTCCATTATCAAAGTGAATGTACGCCACAATGAATATATTGTATGATCTCAACTAATTGAGTACATATATCTTTATGAGGAAAATGTGGAATGCAACTCGAAGTATGCTTGAACCTTTGCTTTACCTTTAAGGACGTAACAAGTCCTTAAGTTCTGCAAGCATCCGACAATTTTCTAATCAATTACCTGTAGTTAAAATAATATTATTTAACCTACGCGGGGCACCTTTTCTTAACCGATCTAGCTTGCGAAAGCCACAGCTTAGACCACCTAAATAGTGAGTTGTCGTAGTAACTTCAGAATTTGTGACTTTTCTAGTTGTGTTAGTTATCAAGAAGAAACCGAAAAGCAGGATTGTTGTCGTAAAACCTATTCACCCATTTGAACAACAACTGCCGCAACCTCAAAATGGAGGTTTTTATTACTTGTTCCAGAATCAAAGTGTTGTTATTATCAAATCCATAAACTTGAACTATGGTGTAAAGAGTGATTTTGTAGGTGTTTTTGAAACACATTGCATTTCCTTTGATAATGTTATTCAGAATCTGAAGAGTTTGTCACTCATAGGCTATCAAGACTGATTTCATTGTATTGTATTGTATTCAAGATTTAGCGAGTTATATACAAGCTTTCAGCCAAAAATAGACCATCATTACAATTCTGGTAAAAACAGGTGAAAAGTGGGATGTGAAAAGTACATAAATGCATTAGAAAACTCAGAACGAACGCTTTACTTGTCAGTCAGATAGGATACCAAAGAGTTCCTGTATGAGGATATGCGAGACGGGATAAGTTTGCACTTCGAGCGGGTGGATGAGTGGGATTTGCATGCAAACAAGTCAATGTGCAGAGGATGGGTGCAATCAGATAGGATATTGTCAGAAAACTTCAAGCATGCATTAATATTGGCATTACACATATTGCCAATCAGAACACATAACGGAACTTGGAATCAGCCTTCAACAAACCAAGGAGAATTACAAGGGAGCAGTACCGTGGTATGAGGAGAACACATTGTTGAACGAAAGCGTTTATCACCGATGAGTCAGAACATAAGTGACGCAATCTTCTTATCTGAAAAGAGAGACTTTTCAACTTGCGAGCAATACTTTGGGTATGTAAAGACCAGCGAAGGTTACTTTCAAGTGTGACACCTAAGTACTTCACATGGCTGACCCTGCTTATCGGCTTTCCATGAATCTGAACATTGTTGGAGGGAGATGGGGTATGGTTTAGAGTAAAAATACATTTAAGGTATTTTTCAGGATTAAGATTAAGACCGGAAGAAGTTGAATATGAAACGAGGTGGGATAGGTTTGTGTTATATCCAACCAGTTCTGATTGGTTAGTTACGGAAACATAAATGGCGACATCATCAACGTACTTAAGATGTCGAACAGGGGGAGTATCAGGTACGTCACTGATATAAGTCGAAAAAAGATAAGGTGATAGAACAGCACCTTGAAGTAAACCCAAGCTATTGAGTGACGCGGTTGACTGTCTTCTTCCCAATTCAACATACTGATATCTTTGCAAAAAGTAATCCGCAAGCCATTCAAGGAGAGAGAAGCGGGACAGCCAAACGACTGGAGTTTGTTAAGTAAAAGAGGACGGGCACTGAGTCAAAAGCCGAAGAATAGTCGAGAAATGCACAATGCGCATATTTGGCTTTCTCGTTAGGGGCTTATATATGAAATGAACTAGACAAGAAACGACGTCTAATATAGAGCGGTTATGTTTGTACGCAAACTGAAAAGTGTCATCGAGGGTGGCAAGAGATAACCGAAGACGATGCAGAACTGATCGCTCCATCAATTTCAAACCAGTGGGAGTGAGAGCAATTGATCTGAAACTCTTCACTATTGGGGCCTTTGACATTCCTTTGGGGATGGACATAATTCTCACTGGACACCAGCAGTCCGGAATAGTTCGGACTTCAAGTTAAAGATTTTCTGTGTGCAAAATTCGGAGACCGTGGCAGAGCACCGTATTTAAGAAGAGTAGGAATTAAGTTATCTGGTCCAGGTGCGGTCGACACCTTGAGAGAACACATGTGTTTATACATCTCACTGGAGGTGATGGGATCAAACGAAGGTAAGATGTTTGGAGAACTGGAATCAGCATAACTGGGGTGTGTCGGGCGGAGAATGAATAAATGCAGCATTCAGTTTTCAATATCAATAAAGGGACTGGAAATCACTTTCTTCGGCCCGCAGAGTAGAGTGATTCCAAGCCACGTAGATTTACAGTTCCTCGTCCCAAAAACCTACTTGCATGGTGTCCAACCGTCTTATTTCACTTTTGATCAGAAACGACAATCGTTGCATTTTGGCCCTCCTGCCACATTTAACTGCACGTTGCTTTTCACGGCGAAGAGGTTTAAGGAAAGGTTTTGATATTCTGCCATCTCGAAGGAACAAAGTTATCACAGGACAGCATATGTCAAAAACACAGTTCAACACTTCTGTTAGAAATGTCAAACTTGACAAACAGGTTGTGTTCAAAGCAAAATAGTCGGTAACTACCTTAAGAGACGATCTAAGCAAGGCAATATTGTCTGGGGAAAGATCTCGCTGAAGGAACCACGTGTTTGGGTCGGCTAAAAGAAAAATTTCTTGAGTGTGAGAAAATCTTAGGTTTGACCAGTATCAGGTTGTGCTCA